TTTTATTTTCGATAGATGAATTTTAGATTCCAAAAATAGTATATTTAATAAAAAGAACTGTCCCATTTTTGTAACTTTAAAATTAAAAATCAGTAAAATTCAAGAACTAGTTTTTGTCTCCTCCGTGGACATAACAAGTCCACGGAGCAACAGTAACAGATTAATTAAACATATTTTCTCAGGTGCTTAAAAATAAAATAAATGATCTGACAAAACACTTACATATATGTCACCATTTACATTTTTAACTCTAGTTGTAAAAAATCGATGTTTAGTTTCAAGATCTTCATAAACTGGTAACATATGATTTCTAGTCCTTCCAACATTATATGGAACATTAGGTAGAGTTTCTGAAAAATGAATAAATGAGGTAAGAAAAAGCATAAATGTTGTAGTTGAATATGAAAATAATTCAGCTAAAACTTATCTAGAATTAAATTATGTACTAATAAGTTTTGAAAGATTGATAGTGTTTTTCTCAATACATTAAAAGCTCGATGCAACAAATATTAAAAGGCTACTATTATGTCATCATCAATTTGGCCAGATTGCTTTTTCCAGGTGTGTGCAATACACCTTCTAAACAGGATATTTATCTTTTTAAGTGTGAAGTTTGACATTCCAGTTGCCAGACATGCTCTTTGAAACGGTTTATGGAGAGATAATTTAAGGGCTTTATCTGCAAAAGAGATAATTTAAAGGCTTTTCCCTTAGCTTCATCAGCAAAAAATTCAAACACATTGTGCATAATTTTACGAGCTTGTGATTTCAAAGCTTCACCTTTTTTAAATTTAAAAGGGATCTTTAAAATTCAAAAGATATAAAATAGAAAAAGAATTTACTAAAAAAATTAATTTTTTGAAATAGAAAAAATTAAATGATAAAAAAAAATTTCGCGCTCTAAATGATATTTCAGACGTGAATGCTAATTTCTCGTCACCCAAGGGCTAACACAATAGACCGATGAAAAAGATTATCTTTCTATCGCCAACCTGAGCCAAAACCTGTCCTAAACAGTGACCCCACACTCTTACTTGAAATACTTATACCTCGTTACCATAGTCACGGCCAGGGTTCCAGACGAATGGCTTGGGGAGTTCTTACTTTAGACAAACTATATAATAATATACATGACCCAACCATGTCCAAGCACCTAACCCCATTTTAAGAGCTCTATTATTTAATAGCCATGGTAGGAATACCACATAATTTTAATCCTGGTCAGACGACGTGGACAGCACCTGAGCTGGTACTCCTCTATCCAAACTTTCACACCACAACTAACAGATAATTTTTAGCCAAGACAAATTTCAAGTCCACCACGTTGCATATACACTTCGGTTGTTTTGTCGGTTTTCAGAATTGAACCCAGCACCCCCAGCTCTCCAACTAGTGGTAGGAGAGATGCATTAACCAACTGAGTAATTGGAATACCGACTTACTATTATAACATTAAATATGTGCTTTTGCTTATATAGCAACAATTCCATCTGCTATTGTGAATTGTAACTATAATGAATTTCTACTGTATTTATCCAAGTTTCGTGAACTTCTTTTCTATCACTTATATAAGATTATCTTTTTTTTTTAATTATAAATATAACAACAAGAGCTTTAAATGTTTATAGACCAGGAACTTTCTTACTGCAAAAGGACAATTAGCAGAATTTTACTCATATATGTATGCAGTTTAAATTTTTTTTTCTTATTTTTGGCTTTAAAATTTTTTCTCCCCATCTGTGATTTTTGGAATAATAATAATGCTAAAAATTTTTTTAATGTTTTAATGTGATGTTACATTAATGTGATTTTTTAATAAAAATGTTGAAACATTAACTATTAATCGATTTAATCAGACAGTCCATCAAACAAGAGTCAAGAGTTAAATTACGTCACATTTTTAACGGTAGTGATTTTTAATGGCTTTCTAGTCAGGTCTTTATTGCTACTCTATTCATGGTCTTCAAAAACTACATTATGTCATCTGTAACTTTGTGTTCTGAAATAAATCATAACCAAAGGATATTTTTATCATAGAAAAAGTTTCTATTGTGGTCTTGTTAAGTTTGACATTATCAGCATTTCATTTAGTGCTATACATGGCAGCTTTTTCAGACAACAAAAAGGAGTTTCACAAAACATTTCAAATACGATTGAAAGATCATGAATGTGTAAGTTGAATACCCTAGCATCAATTTTTGTTAGTTTAAGCAGATTGTGCAAGTAAAATTGGTGATACAGCTGACCTTAGAAATTCAAAAAGCCTAGGACTTTTGGTAATTGCGGCATAGCGTAATAGTAAAAAATTAATAAATAAATAAATTCACATATCCTTTAAATTAAGTAACATTTTACACCCAAAAATAAAATAATAAACTAATATTTTTTTAGAACACACTGACTGACTGATTTAGCATTTTTTTTAAAAAGTTATGTGCAAGAAATTTTCTAAAACACTTTTGGGTTTGTCTTCCCAGTCAACACATTTTACAAGTTTGTTCTGAATAGAACAGAATTAAATATAGATTTTTATTATGTGGTTGAGTTTTCTACCATAGGTCGCATCTCGGTAAGGAACAGTTAATACGGCCTGCTTTAACTTGAATAACACACTGTAAGTATTACTTTTCCAGGATCTAATTTTATGCCGTTTTGTATCAATACTTATCAATGAGAACAAAAAACTTCTGCTTTGAATTGAAATATTATTCAAATTCGCTGTTTTTGAAAACTTAAGATATCACATGCTTTGTTGATGCAATGCATTGTTTAAAACATTGCTACACTTTAGGTTTAATTTGACATTTCAGAATAATTAAAAAAAGGTTTAAAAATGAAATAAAATGATAAACTATACAAAATTACAGACAAAGAAAAAAGTTTTGAGAGTTGCATACAAAATGTAAAAAGATCCACTCATGCATATATTAGGACAAAAAAAAATGTCTAAGAAAATATTTTGGTGGCCTAATTAGACACATAAACCTGATTATTGGCAAATCTGTTGATATGACTTTTTTTACAAACACAATAGTTTAATATAGTTCCTTTTGAAGTAGTATTATTAAATAATTAGTATTATTAAACAATTATCCTGTATTATTTGCACTTTGTGCAATATAAATTGATTTGATATTTTGAGAATTCAAAAGTAAATAAATAAACAAAAATATTTATAAATTTTTTTAAACGAATGAAGAGAGATTTTCGAGATCCAGCAATAACAAAATGAAAATAAGGTAACTTTATTCAGATACAAAAATTAAAACCCAAACATTTTCTTTCCAAATTTTAGATCAAAAGAATTTACAACACTAGTGTAACAAATAATAGCAATACTAATAAAGCAAAATAAGATACCTGAGGGTGCTTTCCAACCTGTGCTTGACACTTTTTTAGGAGGAGTTGGTATTCTTAATTTGGGAAATAATTGCTCAACATATTGCCAGTGTCCCTTAACTTCTTCATATCCAGTATATTTTGGATCCTTGTTATCATCCCATATATCTTTGGGTATTTCATGTTCTTTAGCACGAAAATGTTTACTCTGTAAAATATTAACATGAATATAGCATATATACGAACATAAATTAGTGTAAAACATGCTAATATTATTCAGAAGAACTATATTTCTAGGGGACTATAGACAGTAGCATAGTTTTTAATAAGGTAAAATTTTATTTTTACAAACAGCAAACCTAGTCTTTAAGTATTGTTAATACAATGATTTGTTATGACTATTATATCAGGCTAAAAATCAGGATATTTTTTTGGTGCAATATACATACTAGACTATTTTTATGAAGTTGAAAAATAGGGCTAAAAAATAGTGTAATGCACTGCCTTGAAAATTGCATTTTGGGCAGCATATTTATTTAATTATCCATAACATTAAAAAAAAGATGGGCAACACTCAACTTTTTCAAACAAATAATTGAAATAGGAAGTGTTGAGCAGAAATGATTTTGGAAAAAAATAATAAATAAATAAAAATACTGTGATTTTGCACATTAGTAAATACAGTAAAAAATTTTAGAATCTGAATTCTCTTGACTCTGAATAAAAAAAATCAGCTCATTGTAAAGATCGATCAAAATATACTAAAAAGAAAACTGATAATTATTGTTATTCTCATGCAAAAATAAATTACTTCAAAATCAAATTGATAAATAATCTACATACTTAAGATTAAATATAAACAAACAAAAAAAAGGCAGAAAACATAATTCATGGTAATCTGCAAAGGTTTATTCTTTCAAACTTTATAATACTGGAATATACTTCGTGCTTTTGTCATTTACAGTGTTTTTTAGTGGAATGCACCACTTTGACTTATGCACACAAAAAATTTGAACCCTACATGTCTTTTGATACTAATTAAGCACCAAGAGTAATGAAAAAATGGTCTATTTTCATAGTGTTCCTAATGAATCTGCTTTGTTTTAATAATTTTTGTAGTTTAATAGCTGTGTTTTTTAGAACATTTTACTTGGTATTTAACTTTTTACAAATAGTCATAACAGTAAATTTGGAATTGGAGAGACTGCTTTTTTTATTCCATGTCTTTTTCAGATAATTTTTTTAGCAGTTACTGTTTTTCTGGTTATTTCCACACTGTTTTTAAAATCAAGATATCTTAAATGCAATTTGATTACAACAATCGAATTTTAAATTAAAGCATTAGTTTTATACAGGACTAAAGAGAGGGTAGAGAAGGAGTGGTTCATTCCTTCAAGCTAAAGCTATGGTTTCCCACCTCATGACGTCACCCTGCACATAAATCTCGAAAATCACAACTAATTTTGTTGTTTGTTCTTTCTGTAAGAAATGAGTTGAATGTTCCGACACTTTTCTGATAATAGCTGTCAAACTTTACACTGGTAACAAATTATTTCAGTTCAAAAATGTAGTATTCATACTTTTATTTATAGTTTAAAAAATATAACATTTTAAAGTTAGAAGCACTTCGCAATGGTTATCGTTATTGTTTCATTATCATTTTCGAATTTTAGTTCTTAACTTTTGCTGAGAAAAGAAAGCATATAAAGGCTCTTTTATAGTTACAAATTTTTTTTATAGCAATAGTTTAAATATTAATTGGAAAGTCTAATTTTAATATATTTTCACATAAATAATGGCAATTATTTTTTTTATAGATTATCGCTAATAAACAAAAACCTTTAATGTTAATTGACAAAAAAAAAATCTTTGAGCATATAATAATGAAAATACTACACCTGCTCAAAAGCATTTAAAATTAAGGCACTATAGTTAAAACACATAAATATTTTGAATAAAGGACATTAAAAGATACATTATGAAAATATAATTTTTTTTAAACATTAGTAACTTTTATTTTTGAAGTTCAGGATTTTACTTTCATTGACCTAGTATATTTTTCTCCTTTTTTGATTTAAGTTACAAGACGGTATCAATTTAAATGGCGAAATTCTAATATAAGTTCTTAAATGTCTAAACAAAAAACATAGAGCTTTTTAAGTCACAGAAATTCTTCTAGTACATTTTATAATTCATTTGATCACCGTTATATTTTCTCAAGTAAAACATGGGAAATTACATTTTCTCATTTTGTGTTTGATAAGAATTCTTGTTAGTGATATTTGACAGTCAAAATTTTACAATCAGATGAGAAGAAAATTGTCTCAAAATACATGGAAAACAATGAATTTATTGAAATAAGTTTAAAAAATAGAATCCCATGCGAAACAATTTATTTTTAAAATGAGAAATTTCACTTTTAGCCCTGAGTTTCAGGTAAATCCACAATTTTTTCTTATTGCAGGGTGATCTTTATAAGAATTAAAGAAAAAATTTAAAACCTTGAATATTATGGGTCTCTTAACAAACATCTTTATATTTTGTGATATATATAATCCTTTTTTGCTAAAGGGTGTCCTTTCTTTGATGATATAGTGCACATTTTCAGTTTACAGCTCCTTAAAAGTCTAGAAACAACCATGAACTTTTGTATGAAATTCAAATATATCTTATTATCAAATAATGAAACTGAATAAACAGACAAATAAAATAAAATCCTGTATGAAAAATTGAGAATCGATTGGGTGGATAAATACAGGCTTTTAGGCATTACTAACACCATATAAATACAGGGAAATTTCCGTATCATGATCAGTCGACCCAACTCCAAGAGCCAAATGGATTTCAAAGTTTCAAATTTATTAAAAAATACATGTAGAGGTCTGCGTAGGGGTGTTACGAGTTATGCCCTTCAAGGTGGTTCACAGTGTTATTTCCGTATCGTGATCTGTCAAGTCAACTATTGCCAAGGTGCCAAATAGATTTTAAACTTGCAAATTTTTTAAAAACACAGGTAGATGTTTGCACGAGGGTGGCTACGAGTTATACATTTCGAATGGGTCCCTTTCTGTGATATTTTTTTTTATAGCTTCTTAAGGGCCGCTGCCCGGAACATGCCAAGACTTGTCGATTATTCTGTCACAGATCACGATACAGAAATATCCCCATGTCCTCTTCTATGATGTTTCGGGCAGGGTTGGCAGGTTTTTGACATGTG